TGACTTTGGGCAAGTCATTTAACCTTGATGCTCTCATCTGTAAAATGGGTCTATAAAAATACTGACTCCGTAAGGTTATTGTGATGGGACTACATGTCAAGTAATTATCAGGGGATCTAGGATGTAGTAAAAGTTTAATAACGGTTCGCTGGGGCTGAACACTTAATTTAGGCATAAAGATGACTAGCAAGTTCCAAACTTTTCCTCACCAGAGTCTTGGCAGAAAGTGTCCTGTGGGCTTTTCTATGCGGCTCCCTGACTCACTACCACCCTTCTCTGCTGTTCGATGGTTACCTTCTTGGCCTCTTGACTGTTCCATCCTGGTCTGTTCTTTCTGGAGATAATTCTTTACCTTTCTTTCTGTAACTCCTCCAAGACGAGCCTTTAAAATGTGAAGGCATCCTGTCCCAGCTATTTACAACTTAAGAAGTATCTCTCTACTGTCTCTACTATTTCTCCTCCCTGGGCAAGCCAATTGTGATCGCATTTTAATAATAATCACACATATAAAGCCCTTTCCAGTTTCCAAAGCTCTTTTCCACCTATTGTCTCTTTTATTCCTCACAACGTCTGTGCGGAGTGTATTCTTCTCCATTTTGCAAAGAAATAAAGCGCTGAGGGCTAGCATGATTGTCCAAGGTCACACAATTAATAAGTAGCAGAGATGGGCCTCAAATTCCAATATTTTGTTTCCAAAATATTTGGGAGCAACTCATCTATTCAGATATCCTTCTTAAGGAGCGGCACTGGTGCAAAGGCTGAGGTAAACTGGCAGACTGCTATGCTGCTAGTTAAAATCTCCCCAGCAGCTTGATGGAGAAAGGCCTGGCAACCTGCCCCTATCAAGATTGCAGCCCGGAAAACTCAGTGGGACAGTTCTACTCTATCTATCCCATGGGATTGTGATGGGCTGGGCTCGACAGGGCAGCATCCGACAACCCATCAGCCCTGCTTTGTTTTAGGGGATGTAAGCAAGCTATTTAGATCTATTTTGATTAGGAATGACAAAAGCCTAACTCAAGCTGGAAAACCTGGATTCATGAATTTACCTGATAATCCGAAAACAGGTCTTCAGGCATCGATGCATCCAGGTGCCCCAACGGTGTTAACAGGATTGTGCCATTTCCCAGCTCACCTACCCTCTGGGTTGACCTTATGCTTAGGCAAGTTCTCTGCTTAGAATAGCCAAGATGACGCCACTCCTCCCACACCAATAAACTCAGTAGAAAGAAGACGTCTCTTTTGTGTAAGCCCAAGAAGATGGCTTAGGTTACAGACCCACCCCGGCATCCATCACTCTGACCAGGACTGATCACTTCCCCCGCTGGAGACCGAGTGAGGGGAAATAGAAAGCCTTTAAAGGGGGAGGGGAGGGAGGACAATTCTCAATGATTCAGAGTAACCGGTAAAGCCGGAGCTCTGGCTCCAGTAACTTATGTCAGGCGCAGTGCGCACACCAGGAGCACCTGCAGACAGACTTTTCGGATGACCACTTTCCCGATCACTCTTCCTGGAACATCGCCTCCATGAAACTGAGCTCAGACAGAGCCCGAGACCATCCATGTCTGTTTGAAAAACAAAAACCAAAAAAACCAAAAACCCCACCTCACTGCCCTGGAATCCATGCTGACTCATAGTGACCCCCCTGGGGGTTTCTGAGATGGTCACTGTGTGTGTGTGTGTTTTTTTAAATCATTTTATTGGGGCCTCATACAACTCATCACAATCCATCCACCCATACATCGTGTCAGGCACATTTGTACATTTGTTGCCATCATCATTCTCAGAACATTTTCTTTGTACTTGAGCTCTTGGTATCAGCTCCTCATTTCCCCCTCCCTCCCTGCCACCCCTCCCTCAGGAACCCTTGATAATTTATAAATTATTATTATTTTGTCATGTCTTACACTGTCCAATGTCTCCCTTCACCCACGAGACGGTCACTGCTGATGGGAATAGAAACCCTAGTCTTTCTCCCGGGAGCTGCCCACCCTGTGGATTGCCGCCCAATCGTTCCCACTCCACCTCCACAGCCAGTGTGTCTGTCTTATGCATCATCGTATCCAAGTGCCCCACAGAATGCCTTGAGCATGGCGGGGCCTTCACCCATATTTTGAATGGATGAATAAATTAATGGGTCTAGCTGATCTATCTGATTGGCAGGGTTGATCCACCTGTTTGGATAAATTAATCTGCTCTTCTGCCTATAAAGTGGGAGAAGGTTAGAACCAGACTGTCATTCCAGGCCCAGTTTGTGACTTCAGGGGCATAAGACTCTCAGGGAACGTCCAGGAGGCCTTTCCAAGAATCCACTGGGAGAGGAAACCAAATGCATTGACAGGTGTGTGAGATGAACTCAGGTGGTAACAGGAGCTCCCAAATTACGGGATTTCATGGGCCCACGTTGACATTTATATAAGGGTTGTTTGTTTGTTTGTCTCAACTGAGAACAATCTTTTAAAGCAGACATTAATGATCAGTACCAATCTGCCAAAGAAAGGGATTTTGACACTAAGAAAACAGGAAGGATATAATCTCAGAGAGAATAGCGCAGTCCTGCCCCGGTCCCCAAAGAAAGACTTCGGCAACCTCACGTGATTACTTTTGTTGCAGCTAGATGTGAATTTCAACAGGCTGCTCCGTGTGTGGGGTCGGCTGTTTGGGGTTGATAGCGGCTCTGTGAGGGGAAAAGATGGGCTGTGTCTGCTCCAGGAACAATTGTTGGTGCCATCGAGTCCGCTCCGACTCGGAGCGACCCTCTCGCCTTTGCCTCTCGATTTCATCGAGCACGATGCCCTTCTGCGGGGACAGGACTCTCCTGACAACAAGCAAAAAGTACAGAGGAGGAAACCCTCCTGAGCAGGTCTACTCTGTCCTGTAAGGGTGGCTATGGGTGTAAACACCCCCTAGGCACACAACATCGATCCCAGCCCCACCCCACCTCCTCACGTACCTTGTGTGCGCTTAATCCGCCCATTTTACAGATGGAGGGCAAGAGACAGGTTAAGCGATAGTAAGAGCCTGTCTGGTTTCGAACCCGTGTCATCGCGACAGTTCAGTCCAAAGCTACTGGCCTGTGGGGCTCCCCTGACCCTGCCCGTGTTTCGGGGCAACCTTATTGACCTGAGAGTCTTGACTTCGTTTACAACACAGCTTCATGGTGCCCCCATTAGCCAGGCATCAGCTTGGGGCTTGGGGCCTGGGCGGAGCCTAGGAAGAGATCAGCATCTCACCCTACCCCCCCACCGCCCCAGCTGCCAGTGACCTTCACTCCCCTGCAACCCCTACCCCTGCCCCAGTACTTATTGGGGTTCTCGCCAGGCCCGCTCCTCCTGCCGGGAGTGCACGAATCCCCAGCTCAAGCGTAGGCTGTTAACAGTTCAGGGGGTTCCCTCTCCCAGGGGTGTTGGCAGTTTCCTCGGAGACTCTGGAAGCCTTCGACGCCTCCAACGCCCAGGGACTGGAAGTGTAATGGTGGCAGGTCGTCCAGGGGGTGATCTGGGGGCAACCCAGTTCAACCCTGTCAACTGCCACCCCGCAGCCCCCTGCCCTTTCCGAGAACCGGCTTGGTGAGGATCCACAGCCCCGCAGGTGCCCCTGGAACATGTCGGGGTCGCCCGGGTCTGGGTCTGGGGGCTTCGTGTGGAGGGGCCTGGGGCTCGG